AGCCCGCGTGGGCTCCTGCGGCTGCCACTGCATTTGGAGCAGCCAGGCCACTCGCTTCCTTACCATTCTTCCCAGCGTAACTGCGGTTGAAGCCACGTCCATTGACTTTTGGTAGTGAGTCTGCATCTGTCCCATGAAAGAGGAGTTTCTCATTCATTGTCTGGCCATTTTTGGCATCCATTGTTTTTTTCATGGTCTGATATTTACTCCAGAGATGTGGATTCTGGATCCTCTCAATCTGCAAATTAATAAAAATATTCTACCAGTGCCAAGAGTACTTGCCAAGATTCAGCAAATGTGCCATGATCACTATTTCCATAAACAAAAATTACACTAAACAGCAAATTCAATGCCAGATGGCAGCTTTCTGCATTCGGAAATCCTTTTAGATCCAGTGTGTCATAAAAGCAGTCATTGGAAGGAACACTGGTTTAATTTTAGCACCTTTTAGGCACCAAATGAGAACGATGTTTAAGACCTTTCATATATATATTTGTTCCTATGTATCCATGACAGATGAATGAAGAAAGACGTATGCACACATGTGAGAGTGAGAAATGAGAGAGAGAGAGAGAAACACCCTCTAGATCTGGTCATGGTGCAATCCCCTTCCTCTATCAAGTCCTCCAGATGAATCTTGGAGTTCACATGTCTGAACTGTTCCAGGCTGACTAGGCCAAGGATTCAAATCACAGTCACCATGTGGACTCTGGCTTATCTTGAGAGGCATTACCACCATGGTCACATGAGAAGGAGAAAAAGAGAGAGAAAGACTTCATGCTATAACCTACCCCCTACTTCAGCCAGCCCAGATCATGGGCATGTGCTCCCAGTATGCTCAGGGAGGTCCTGGGACATGAACCCAGTACCTGTCCCATGTGAGTCCAACTGCATTACCACTGCACCACCACCTGGCCCCGAATGTTTCGGCTCTTATGCCTCATATACAACTGTTTTGTTTTGTTTTTTTTTTTTTGAAAAGTTTTATTTTATTTTTTTTATTTTTATTTATTTATTTATTTTGTTTGCTATAGGGAGTATGTGCTTGCCAGAAAGACAGAGAGAGACAGAGAGATAGAAAGCAAGAAATCACCCCTCTGGGGGATGGCCACGCCGCAATCCCTTCTCCTCCATTCTCCTCTCGGGATCTTTGGCACACACACACACATGCCCGGCATGAGTTTAAGCCTCTGAGTCCGGAACTCGAACCACGGTCGACCACATGGGAGTCCAGCAATATAGCCATTATGCCAACTGCTGGTCCCTCCAACTCTAGCGTTTTACATATACTCTCTTAGCAGCTCTTGTAGTCTACCTGGCTTTGACACTTTGCCTCTCGCTGCCTCAGTCTTTCTGGCATACCAGTTGGCCTACCCATGTTCTAACTGTGGCAGAAGCATCAGAGGATCTAGGCAAGAAGGAAATTAATTAGTGAAAATTAATCTCCAGTCCAGTTGGAAGAGTGGGACATAAATCCTGATGGAAGGGAATCTGGCTATGGACCACAGTGGCCATGCTTTGACCAGACTCTGGGTGATGGCCTCCAGGGCTGCGGTGAAAATTGCTTGGGTTCTGGATTGCAGATGAGCCTCTACGCTCTGTCCCGGGAGGGCTGGGAGCAAGAAAGGCGTAAGTAAAAGTTCCATGTTGTCAGAATCTTTTCCCATTCTAGAGAACTCTTAGACCTAACACTATTATCTGCCTTTGTTTGGTTCTTTTTGTTTTGTTCAGTTTGGGGCTTCCTAATTTTAATAAAAGTACAATTCATCCTCCAGTTCAGAGTATCAGCATTTTGTTGCTCTGATTTACGGTTTTATTATTTTCCCTTTTTATTCTTTACCTCCAGCTAAGTTTCTAATCTTTGAACTGCCACATCCATTTTGTTTCAATTTACCTTAAATTTAATTTAATTAAAAGTCTTCAATTTTTTTCTTAGAATTTTGCCAATTTTTTCATTTTCTTAGATTTTATTTCACTCTTAAATTTTAAACTGTTTCTTACTCTTAAATCTTCATAATCACACAAATGAAAGGACTATTTCAGGTAATTTTTTTTAAGAGAGGTTTTTGCAATAGGGTGCATAACTCGCTGGACAGAAGACAGAGAGACAGAAAGCAAGAAATCACACCCAGGGGACTGGCCATGCTGCAATCCCTTTCCTCTGTTCTCCTCTTGGGATTTTGGGCATGCATGCACATGCACCAGCGTGAGTTTTAAGCTGCCCAGTCTGGGACTCAAACCGTGGTCGACTACATGGGAGTCCAGCAACGTAACCTTTATGCCATCTGCTGGTCCCTATTTCAGGTAATTTTTTAACACAATTATATGATTCGGTAGTCTAGTGGGATAAATTCTGAGGTCAAAAATATTGCAAATAAATCTTAAATTTAATTGGCAAGCCTGGATCCCAACTGTGTGGTTTGATTTCTGAACCTGGTGGACTGGAAAATATGTTAGGCACGTGTATGTGCTCAAAACCCTGAGAGGAGAAAGGATTGTGGCATGGTCATTCCCCCGGGGCGGGCACTTTCTCATTTTCCCTCTTTCTCTTTGTCTCTCTCCAGTGAGTGTATGTATCCTATGGCAAATTAAAAAAAAAATGAATTCTAGAAAATCCTTTAGTAGGTTTGTTATCAGTAGCAAATTTGTGATTATGATCGATTACTTGTATCAGACCAGTCCTCTCACCAAAAATTTCTAGAAAAGCTAGAAAAAAATCTGTTTGAAGCCAGAAGGATTCGATGAGCCAAGATTCCAGAGAGAATGGAAGTACAAAATGAAATGTTGAAGTCAAAAGACAATGGAATAACTATTTCAAAGTGCTGAAAGAAAGTAACTGCCAGGGGACCAGCAGATGTAATGTTTACATTGCTGAACTCCCATGAAGTCAATCACAGTTCGAGTCCTGAACCCGGTGACTTAAAACTCACGCCAGGCATGTGCGCCTGTTTGCCCAAGATCCCCAGAGGAGAATGGAGAAGAGATTGTGGTATGGCCATTCCCCTGGAGGGCGATTTCTCGCTTTCTGTCTGTCTCTCCCTCTGGCCAAGTGCATACTTCCTATAGCAAAAATCTCTCTCTTAAAAAAAAAAAAAAAAAAAAGAAAGAAAAAGAAAAGAACAGAACTGCCAATCCAGAATTCTATACTCAGCAAAAATTTCCTTCAAAAAATGAAAGTGAAATAAAAGCATTTTTGGACAAACATAAACTGAAATAATTTATCACTACCTGATTTGCATTAGAAGAAATACTAAATCCAGATGGAAAATGATCCCAGATGGAATCAAGAAGGATTGAGGAGCAGTAGGAGGAAAAAGTAAATATGCTGGTTAAGTGTAAATATTGTATAAACAAATTAAAATGTTTTATAGGGTTCCAAATAGATATTGAATTAGAGTACATATTAAAAGTAAGGCAAAAGGAAGGAGGGGGATAAATGAGACTTGAGGTATTTAAAGATCATTACATTGGGAAATAAGAAATACATGAACAGAACCGGAACCAGCAGTTGGCATAATGGCTGTCACTGGACTCCCATGTAGCCGACCACGGTTCAAGTCCTGGACCCAGTGGCTTAAACTCACACCGGGCTCGTGTGCATGTGTACCTAAGATCCCGAGAGGAGAATGGAGAGATGGGATTGCGGCATGGCCATCCCCCACGGGGGGTGATTTCTTGCTTTCTATCTCTCTGTCTCTCTGTCTTTCTGGTGAGTGCACATGCCCTTCAGCAAGAAAACCTCTCCCCCCAAAAAATGGAAAGAAAGAAATACATTGACTTACATTAGCATTTACTAAGTCAAGGATGCACATTGTAATCTCTAGGGTAACTCTAGGGTAATGAAAGAACTGTAATAGAGTGGGGACTAGCAGTTGGAGTAATGGCTATGTCACTGGACTCCCATGTAGTCGACCACTGTTCAAGTCCTGGCCCCGGCGGCTTAAACTCACGCCAGGCGCGTGTGCGTGCGTGCCCAAGATCCCAAGAAGAGAATGGAGGAGAAGGGATTGCGGTGTGGCCATCCCCCCGGGGGGTGATTTCTCGCTTTCTATCTCTCTGTCTCTCTCTGTCTTTCTGGCAAGTGCACACACCCTATAGCAAAAATCTCTCAAAAAAAAAAAAAACTGTAATAGAGTGTATAACCAATAATTCAATGGAGGAAATGAAGTTGTTGGAAGATGTGGAGACATACTAACCAAATACAGTGTATGAGCCCAGACTGAGGTGGGGGTGGAGAGAGTTACAAGATTTTTTGAGTGGGGCAGCAGGTGGCACGGTGGTTAAGGGTACTGGACTCCCACATGGTCGAAGGCAGTTCGAGTCCCAGACCTGGCGGCTTGCTTTCTTGCCTCTCTCTCTCTCTCTCTCTCTCTCTCTCTCACTTTCTGGTCAAATGAAAATATGTAAGGTTAAATGAAATAATTCTTAAAAAAGAAAAAAGATTGTTTGAGCAACTGGGGAAATCTGAATATGGACGCTATTGGACAATATTGAATGCTCATTTTCTTACAGGTACAATGGTATTTTAGAACTTTAAGAGAAAATCTTCATTCTTAGGTGATATGTGCTAAAATATTTAGGGGTAAGTCATGACATTTGCAACTTTCAAATGCTTCAGTAAAACCTGAGAGAGAAGAGAAAACATATGTGGCTTAATTGTTGACTCTAAGTGGAAGGTCTATGGGTAGTAAAAATTTTAATCATAAGACATAACTGCCATGTAGGATAATAGACCACTCATTTTTCATGTTGGTGGTCTCACACCCTAGGGACTTCCACAGAGGCACAGAGGTGCCTTAAGAACTGCCTAATTTTGCTTTGACATGATTCATACACTGAGGTTTTGCATAAAGATTTTACTAGGAAAAAAGGTTCTACTGTGAAAACGCGTTGGCATCATTCCTCTGTCAAGGTCCGCCAGCACACTGCAGGCCTGCCCAGGGCCCATGCAGACGCTGGACGTTCACCTCTGCTCAGTCTGCACGTGGCCTCTCATCACAATGCCACACAGCATGACCAGTTGGCCATACCTGGGACTTAGCTGAACTTGCTCATTACCTCAGAACTAGACCATCAAAGAGGGGCATTACCTGAACTGTACTCGGTTCTCAAGTTATTTTTTCAGTCAGGCAGCTGTTTTGCTCAACTAGTTACTCACAATGGGCACATGTTCATGTGTGCCCAAATCCCAGGAGGAGAATGGAAGAGAAGGGATTGAGACATGGCCATCCCTCCGGGGGGAGGGGGGGGTGGTGATTTCTCACTCTCTCTCTCACTCTCTCTGTCTCTCTCCTCTCCAGCAAGCGCACACACTCTAAGGCATAAAACCTTTTAAAAAATTCTCCAAAACTTGATCTCTAAGAGAAATCTCTCTCAGGAGTTAATCTTGCTATTGTGAAGAGATGTGAGTCTTCTCAAATGATTTCTTTTCCATTTGTGGATATTATTGGTGTTTACTTCTTTGCTGTGTCTATTAGGAAACAGAAATAAATCTGTAACTATCTACGATTTCATGTTGTGTATTTCTGTGAACCAGCAATGCCTCCGTATTCCTTTGTTTCTCCTACCCTCCTTTTCTCTCTATCCACTTTTATTGATCTATTTTATATGAATGTAGGGCATATCTTTGTAAGATACTTCAAGTCATTCTTAAATTATTATAGGCTTAACTACATGAATAAACAGAGTTCTGCAAAAACAGAATAAGGGAAAATTTGCAGAGAAAGAAAATGCAGGCCTATTGGCAGACTCATTATTATGGATGAAGGAAAAGTATTCACAGATCCCTGGCTTTATTCAGAAGGTAGCGGAGAAAGAAAGGAGACGAGAACAAGAGGAGAAAGAATTACTTATAAATGATGAGGTAGGTTTTAGAGAAGTTGACTTAGCAATTTGATATTCAGGTGGTTTTTTGTTTTGTTTGTTTGTTTGTTTGTTTGTTTTGTACCCAGGAATATGTTCTATGAGAATATGAGTCAAAAATCCTGGTTGGTAATGTTGATTTGGGAATTATCAAAAAAGAAATAATAGCTGAATCCAAGAAGGGTAAAAACATTCCTTGTTCAAGTGCAGAGACAGAGACCAAAGTATGTAAAGATGGAACTGGGGTTTAAAGGAAAAACAGATACCAATGATAATGAAAGGAAAATAGAAGGAGAAAAAAATAATCAAAATATTATCACTACGAAGTCAAAGAATAACATAACTTCAAACAGCAGTATCAATAGCATTTTAAAGTGGAAGATGCCAGATTAATCAAGATGAATAAAAAGGGACCAATGGATTTATGTAGAAGTGAGCAGTGTTGACCTGTGGACAGTGGGGCAGGTGAACGTAATCCTACCTGTGAGACCTCGAGGCGTCTCCTTGTAGTGTTTGCTACTTATTAAATCCCACTTTGAAGCCATATAATTGAACTTTTATTAGTTGACTTCACAAAGTAAATATGGCGTGTCATTGATGTTCTAACACCATACTATAATCTAGTATTATAATAACTGACATAAAATTGTTAATCTTATTGTCTTAATAATTATGGTGATATGAATAGACTCTCGACTCTAAAATCTAATTACCATAAAAATTCCAACTCTGAGTTAAAAACCGTGATAGGAAATAAATGAAATGTACAGTTGTGTGTCACTCCACGATAGGGATACAGTCTGAGGAACACGTTAGGTGATTTTGTCATGTGACACAAACCTCGATGATACAGTCTACTATACACCGAGGCTATAGGGTATAACCATATGGGACCGCCATCAGGTATGCCACCTGTCATTGAAATGTCATCATGAGGCATGTGACTGTATTTATATGGGACCATGACACCGCCTATGTCCCCCATTAGGAACCTCCATGTTGGCGGAAGGCTTACCTTCTCTATGTGGAAGTTTGAGCAGGTCTGGTTGAACTTGCTTGCCACATTGTTGTATTCCGGATGACTAGGCTGTAGCTGAACCACACAGAGGTCCTGCTGCTGCATGTCAGTCCAGTGCGAAGGGAGGTCGACTGCAAGGGAGATAGATGTTTGAGATTTCCTTACACATTCCCTGTATGCTTTGAAAAACTGAATTAACATCTGAGTTCTTATTTTACAACCTCCTAATTTAAAGTGACAGGTACTCTTCATGGCCACTTGGGTGATGCAGTGGTAATTCAGTGCTTCCTGATGCTGAGGCCACATGGGAAGGCTCTGAGTTTGCATCCTGAGACCTCCCTGTGGCCGTTTGCTGCCTGTGATCCTGGCTAACTGAGGCTGTAGGTAGGGTCTTGGTATGAGGACCCTGCTGGGGTTACTGTCTCTTTCCTTTTGTCTCCTTCTCTCCTGGGAAATACTAATAAACTTTTCAAAAAAGTCCCTTATCTTTCTAGGAAAATGGTTTTCAAAGTGTGAACCACAGAGAACCTAAATTAGAACCAACTGGAATTCTTATTTTGAAAAATAAAAAGGGACCAGCAGGTAGCATAAAAGTTAAGGTCGCTGGATCCCATATGGTTGACTGCACAGTTCGAGACCAGACCTGGTGGCCTGAAAACACCTGGGCATGTGTACATGCATGCCCAAAATACTAAGAGGAGAATGAAAGAGAAGAGACTGTGGTTTGGCCATCCCCCCCACTGGGGGGGGGTTGACTTATCACCTTCCCTCTTCCTCTGTCTCCAGCAAGCACACGTATCCTATAGCAATAAATAAATAAATTAAATAATAAAATAAAAAGGGTTGGTCCAGTGGACTTGTGGGTAAAGGAGCTGGATCCTACATGGCCAACTACAATTTAAACCTGGCGATGACTTGAGAAACAGGCTGGCTGTGGGTGCCCGAATCCTGGCAGGAGAGAGAAATGGAGGAGGGGTTGCAGTGTGACCCCCCTCCACTGGGGATGCTTTCTTCCTCTCTGTCTCTATCTCCCTGTCTCTGGCTAGCACACACAGATATCTGACATCGGAATCTCTGAGCAGTGGAGCCTCTGTGTCTGCATGTTAAGATCATGCTAAGATTGACAGACTGTTGATGCAGTATAACTTACTTGTATTTTCTGTTCAGGGTCTAATACATCATAATTTAATGATACATATCTCTCTACAAGGTTTTCAATCTTTGCCATTGTTTCGTTATGCATAAATTGTTCCAGACCTCTACCCACCACCACAAGGAAATCCATGTCTATGTTTTCATTATTCTCCTCAGTGTTCTTAAGAGGTGGGTGGGTCGTAGAGGTTTTGCCGTGTGACAGGCTGTGGCAGTACTTCTGTCTTCTCTGCTTAAGCAATACTATACATGATTTGCCAGGTCCCCAGAATTGCTCGGAGTCTGAGGAATTCGTTCATCTCACAGAAGATGAATACAGTATACTGAAAGCCAATGTACCAGTTTCCAGTGGGGGACTGGTTCAAAGGCAGGATGGGCTGTCTGCGGAGGACAAGCATTCCCTTCTTGGAGAGTGGATCCAGTCAGAAACACTGACAGCTGCTTCCTGAGGTGTGTGTCAAAGAACCTTCTGCTCAGGGCAGAGATGACACTTGAGTACAGGCTCCTGACCCTTCCTGGGTTAGTCCAGACACAGAGAGGGCACATGCCCTGACCAGATGGTCTTTTCTATATTCTCCCTTTACCCTTTTGTTCTAGAAAACCTTAGGCCATTTTTCTTCTAAGTCTGTGGTTTTCCCTCCCCTGACCTGAAGCAGTCATTAACTCGCCGGCAGAACTGGCTCTGGGAAGTTTACACAGTGGGCAGTAGGGACAAATGGGCAGTCTGGCCACTGTTACCATCGCGGTGGTTACCTTCGGGTGGTTGGGTGTATACGTGTTACATTTCCCAACCACATTCTTTAGGCTTAGAGATCATGTTCTCTAGTTTATTCCATTAGAGTTATTTGAATTTTATCTACTCAGAATTTTTTTTTTTTAGAGGTTTTTGCTATAGGACGCGTGCGCTCGCCAGACAGACAGAGAGAGACAGAAAGACAGGAAGCGAGAAATCACCCCCCAGGGGGGATGGCCACGCCGCAATCCCTTCTCCTCCGTTCTCCTCTTGGGATCTTGGGCACGCACGCACATGCGCCCAGCGTGAGTTTTAAGCCACCGGGTCCAGGACACGAACCATGGTTGACTATGTGGGAGTCCAGCGACATAGCCATTATGCTAACTGCTGGTCCCTCTACTCAGAATTTTGAGGTATTGGGTTGTTGGCAAAGTTGTGATGTATTTTTTCTATGCAAAAACGTGTTGTGACTTCTCCAACAACATAATTTGTACAAAACCATGTTAAGTTGAAAACAGGGATCGAATAATGGATGACAAGCATGAAAGTTTAACTCACCTTCTAATTTTGTGAGGCGCTGAAGAGGTAAACTATCTCCTCTTGTGTCTGTAGCAGTATGTGTTTTCAAGTCCACTGTGTAGCTCCGATTATTAATTTTGACACCAACTGTCTCTTTCTTTGTTCTCTTTGCATCTTCCAATAGCAGATTGGTTACTTTGTCAAAACTATGAAAAGTGTTATTAACATTATATTGCCATTCTATAAATTCATAGATATAGTCCGCCCGGGATTCTTGTTCTTTGGCCAATCTAACTCTCTTGATCATTTCCTCAATTTCATCTCTTGCTTTCATCACATCTCTGCTAATTCCCCAAACCTCAATCAAAGGTTTCGTGACGTTCAGGGAAATGGTAATATTTAACTTCTTCTGCAGGTCATTCAATTCCTGATATTCCTTCTCATCAAAGTATTTGATACACTCATCGACACTGGTGTAAGGCAACTGTTCCTTTTTAATCAGTTCCTGGATCCAGGAGATAGTATTTTCCACAGATTTTACATTTTCACCACACACTTGGAATATGGCTCTTTCTGTTTTCTTTTCCAAAACCAAAGGATTCTTTTTTGGGGGGGGCTGCTTTTGAAAGCCAAAAAAGGCTAAAAATAAAAGAAAGATTTCATATTTCCAATCCAACACCAACATTAGGAACATGAACATCATAAAAATGTACAACTCACATGCTACTTTAGACATCATAGATGGTTGTGGAGAAACCTGAGTCCCTTCTCGTTTTTTCATGTTGGCATAAAACACATCCAATATCTGAGGCTGAAAGATAACAACTTTAACTTTTTTCACAGATTGGACTTGCCCTTTCTGGATAAAATCTTCAATGGCATCAATCATGTCTTCAGCAACCTTATCTGAGTCTTTCTGGGCACTTCCTGGAAAAGCAAATAAATAAATAAATTGACTAAAGAAAAAAATTTAAAAAGATCCGATTGTAAAAGCCTAAGGAATACAGTATTCAAATCCTCACAGAATAAACATCCACCGCCCAATTCTTGCACCACTAAATTTTTTAAAACAAATGCATCAGCAAACACTTTTGAAGTCCTAGATGCAATGGAGATGTTTTTCTTGTTTTTGTTTGTTTTCTGCAACAGGATACATACACTCAGAAAGAGTCAGAGAGAGGGAAAGAAGAAAGCTCCTAAGGGGACACAGTCACACTGCAATCCCTCCTCCTCCATTTCTCCATCCTATTGGAATTGGTCACACACATATATGCGCGTGCGCACACACACACACACATGCCTCGCATACATGCCCATGACCTAGACACAAACTGTGGTCAGCCATGTAAGATCTGGCTCTCTATGCACAGGGCTTAACCACTATGCTACAGGGTCAGCCCCACCGTAGGGAGTTTTTGTTTCAGGAAGTCAGGAAGCCAACAGCTCAACAAGGAACAAAGGCCCCAGAAACCTGACTTCTGGTCTCTGATGTTCACATCTGCCTTATTCAGCTGATCCCAGCTCACCAGGTTCTTCCAATCCTGTTATAGAAAACAGGTAAATTTCCTTCTTGTCTCACTAGTGCCTTCAAAAGAGCCATAAAAAGTAGAATATGTCCATGTATGTTGAAATGACATGGCTTTAAAGAGAAAAACACTTTGAGGGGGCAGTGGGCAAAGGGCTCAGTCATCACTTGCTTTTATGCATGTATCCTTATTCTCCCAGATCTCTTTGGGGATCTGATTTAAACTAAGCTAATTGTGTAAGACACCTGGAGCTGTAAGCTCTTTGTTATATTCTCTAATGCTCTGCACACAATCTCCAGGGAGTCCTTCTCCCTACACTCAGTGAGATTTTGGCTAACCAGCAGGATTCAAGGTAGCCATCCTGAGCAGATCCTTTCCTATCTTCAACATGCTCCAGATCCTGTTTTCAAGCCATGAAAGCCTCAATAAGACCACACAAGATCACTTTTCAACCATAGAAGTGGTCCCGTGTGGTGGCTGGCAAAAGCACATGGTAAGTCACGCAAGTGTGACCTCACAGTGAGAACCCACCTGAATTATCCATGTTGATGGTACACACCATCATTGCAGAAAATGAGAGTAGACTTCTTTGACTTAGCTATGTAGACAATTGGGGAATGGAGACAAATCTCATATAAAATTAACCAAGAGGGTTTATTCCATTTTCCTATTGATGATCAAGGGAAGAAGGAAATTTTTCTTTGCAAAGCTGTGTTTGCCTCCATGGTTTTTAGAAAAGTTTAAATGGAAGCGTTCAGATCCATTAATTTACTCTTGATTGATTGGGTCATCAGGAAAGTCAGGACTCATTTTTGCATAGAAAACTACATCCTGATGTTCCTGATGACCTAACACATCTATCATGTTCCATTACAGTCAAGATGTTCAGCTAGGCACCTAGCCGGATCCAGAGGATGGGCCATGTGGGCACAAACAGGTTTGCAATGGGTGAAGTATGGAAGGTTGAGGGAAAGGCTATGCCAGGTAGAACTGTGTGATAGAGGCATGATATGTTGGGTCTGATTTTGAGAAAAACAGATCTGGAGGATTATGAAGAGGTGCTCAATCAGAGAGCCCATGTCTAGATAGGAAGTCGTAATAAAAGTTTAGGCAAAAGACAAGAGTGGAACAAACAAAGGAGACCAGAGTGAAGAGCAGGTTATAGGCACTGAGGAGATATTTAGGAAGTAAAGTCAGGAGGATTTAGTGACCAACTAGGTTTATGCCTGGCCCTCCCTCCCCCATCTGTCCCGTCATGGAGCACCTTGTATTGCAGTTGTTTATTTACATGACTGTCTCTCACCCTAGGTTAGGTAACTCCTTGTGGACTGGACTCTTCTTTTTAAAAAAATTTTTTTAAAACTCCCACATGGCTGACTGCAGTTTGAGTCCCAGATCCAGCAGCTTGAAAGTCACACCGGGTGTGCATGAGTGCCCAAAATCGCGAGAGAAAAATGGAGGAGAAGGGATTGCAGTGTGGCCATCTTCCCTAGGGTATGATTTCTCGCTTTCTGTTTCTCTCTGTCTCTCCAGTGAGTGCACATGCCCTATAACAAAAATCTCTCAAAAAATTATTTTAAAAAAATTTTTGCTGTAGGGCATGTGCACTCACCAGAGAGAGAAATAGAGACAGAGAGAGAAAGAAAGTAAGAAATCACCTCCCTACATCTCTAAAAGCGGAAGGTCATGCTGCAGTCTTTTCTCTTTGGGATTTTGGGCATACACACATGTGCGTGGTATGGTTTTCAAGTCACTGAGTCTGATACTTAGACTGCACAGTCAGTTTTGTGGGACCTAGGCACTGTAACCTCCATGCCACCTGCTTGCCTGGCTAGACCCTTTTCTTAATCATCTACATCCAGTGCCTAAACATGGAGCCTGGCACATGTAGGTACTCAGCAAATGTCTAATCAAACTACTTAGTAAGTTAATAAGCATAGGAATGATAAAGAAGGTAGAGTCAAGGTTCTAGATGGAAGATGATGTTTTTCACATAATTGAGCATATAAGAGGAAGTGTGGATTTGGTGGAGAAGACAACGAATGGGAGTTGGGAGTTTGAGTTTGAAGTGTTTGCAAGTGCTGTTGCCCACCCATTCTTTCCCCTTATGCAGGTGTCTGTGAGACCCAGGGAGAGAGATTCCCTTGCTGCCAGAAAACTGTCTTGACCATAGTCCCAATTCAGTTCAGAAACACCACTAAGGGAGAAAGCTTGCCTGTCTGGTAGTCTAAGAACCAGCTCAGCGGTCCTTGACCCTTAAAGATAGGTCTAGAGAATAAGTAGGGAGAATCTGCTAACTGATTTATTTGCACTGACCAGAAATGCTACAAGATCAGTGGAAGAAACAACAGCATTGCCTTAACTTAGGAACACAACATGTGCACATATTTCTACAAAACTAAACTCCCTCCTTTACTTGTTTCTTTGTTTGATTCTATCTAGGGACTCCCTGGGGAGGACTGTGCCTCTCCTGGCTGCCTGCTCCCTTGGCCTAAATTAATTTAAGGTGGATACATAAGACTAGAGCTCAGAAGAAAAAGCAGATGGAGACAGAGACTGAGGAGTCATTGCATTGGTGGGTGTCCATAAAAAAAAAGAAAGAAAAAGAAAGAAGAAAGGATAAAGAACGAAAAGAAGGGGAAAGGAAGAAAGAAAGATGATAGACAATAAAATGTTGGTTCCTCTTCTAGGAATAGATATCTTAAGGGGAATGGATATAAGGGGAATGAAAACATAAATTATACTTTTAGAAATAAAAAAGAAGTAAAATAGACATAGAATTCCATCTAGACACATGAGGAATGGTAGAGAATTAAATAAAGCAAGATACGAGTTAGAGCAGCAGAAGAAGGCCAAGAAAATTACAGGAGGCTGATCTTTATTGAGGCTGAACTTTGGACAGCCTAGAATGCCAGTCTAAGACACTCAGATTTCCAAGAAACACATGACAGTCCATGCTGAATGTTGTCTCTCTGAGACTAGTCAACTCTATTCTTTTTTTTTTTTTTTTTTTAAATTTCTAGAGGGTACATGTACTTACCAGAGAGAAAGAGAAAGCAAGAAAGGCTCACTCATAGGGAGTGGTCATGCTACAATTTTTTCTCCATTTCTCCTTTTGGGATTCTGGGCATGAATGCATATGTGTGTATCTTAAGCTACTGGGCCCAGGACTCCAACAGTGCAGTTGGCCATGTAGGATCCAGCTGCCTCAGCTGCTATGCTGCTGGCGGGTCTTGGACCCCTCCATTCTCCTCCATGTCTGAGACTGCAGCTCTATTGAGATCAAGCAGGAATTTTTTTTTCTTTTTTTGGAGAGGTTTTTGCTATAGGGCGTGTGCGCTCACCAGACAGAGAGAGACAGAGAGAGACAGAAAGCGAGAAATCACCCCCCAAGGGGGATGGTCACGCCGCAATCCCTTCTCTTCCATTCTCCTCTCAGGATCTTAGGTACACACGCACACGCGGCCAGCGTTGAGTTTAAGCCACCGGGTCCGGGACTCGAACCGCAGTCGATTACGTGGGAGTCCAGCGACATAGCCATTACACTAACTGCTGGTCCTGAGATCAAGCAGGAATTTAATTCCTGGGAACACAGCCCAAAGAGCATCATCTAACTAAGGATAGCCAAAAGTCATATTTTTTTAATATAAAGAATGATACAATCATTACATTGTCTGAAGAAAACAAGAAACAAAAACAAAAACCAAAAAAGCAAGTAAGCTGACAAGAGAAAGGTAGACCTGAGTTTCTGACCCACCAGACTCTGGTGACCAAGGTTCTACACAGGGATGACCTAAGGTCAAATGACAAGGCCCATTGTTGAGCTGAGGACTGGAAATCCTCATCTGGGAGCCAGCTGAAATGAGGTGGAAGTTGATGCACTCATGTTCTCCATGGAGAGGGGACAGAAGGGAAAGTTAAGGGCTAAATAATGAAGGTATTACAGGGAAGCAAAGAGCAGGAAGGTACGGAGGGTTGACAATGAAGGGTGTTCTTTCCACCCTTCTTTTCTCCTCGCCCTTTCCTTCTTTCTGTCTCTCTAGTATTCAACAATCACTTGAGTTTTCTTCATTTGTTTACTTAAACCATCCACAGGTTTTGTTTGCCCCTTGGGGATCTGCCTTGAGTAAGGAAGCTGTCCATTCCTAGAGTAACTGTTGTTGCCTTCACGCAGACTCAGCATTAACTACATTAATACCCAGCCCCAGAACTAAAGCAAAGTGGATGTTTTGTGATTTACGCTTGACAAGCAGAAGCTACAAACCTGTCCCAATGGCTGGGAAGCAAACTGAGGAGTAATTCTGTTTCTCACACTCTCGCAAAACACAGGAAACCGACAACTTGACGTCATTTCCACCAACAACATGAATGATTTTCTTGCACCTCAATAATCCACCTTCAGTAATTATGTAGTCATGTTTGCCCTGTTGAGCTGGAAAACCGATGAAAGAATGCAAAATTAGATGCTGAATCTACCATTTGATTTTTTAGGAGACAAAATTGTGGCAGGCAGCAAGGCTATAGGGGCGAGGCAAGATGGCGCTCAGCGGAACTGAGCTGAGTTATTATTGAGATAAACAACCTTGAGGAAGTGGGATGGTAGAGGCATGTTGCGCACGGGGACAACTCATGCCACCCATCAGTTGTATGGAAAGAGTCTTCCGTACACGTGTACAGAACCCTGATTGGCTTAGGGACCTACTTAAGGCCAAGAGGGAGGAGGAAGGACGTGTACAGAACCCTGATTGGCTTAGGGACCTTCCGTACACGTGTACAGAACCCTGACTGGCTTAGGGACCTACTTAAGGCCGAGAGGGAGGAGGAAGGAGGGAAGAAGAAGACTGTAAGAAGCCTGGGGTAATAAAGCGTTCTGGAGAAGACCTTGTCGGCGTCATCATTGAAGCGACACAAAATGTCTGATTTGGCATAAGGATTTTGTGAATTAAAAACTCCTGAAATATTATCTTATGGGTTAGAGTCTCTTTTTAACTATGAGCTTGCTTTTCACTTTTAATTCTGTGATTGGAATTATTTGGCAAAATGTATAATTTTAAGATTAATTGGTTGTCTCCCCAGTCCCAAGACTTTCCTTAGTCTCTCTACAGCCTCTTATATTCAGTCTCCCACCTAACAAACTAGGACCAAAAATTAGCATTGTGCCTTACCTAGTCTAGAACACTCCGCTTCCACATTTTGTCCAGCATTTTCTAAAATTGCTTTGGAGACTCCTACATGAGAAAATCAAGAGAGTAACAAAGACAAAAATTCACTATGGTACATTTGGCTCAGAAAGATTGCTTCATTATCTAAATACTGTTCCCTTTATCAAAGGAATCCTATAACCTGGGCATTGCTAATAACAAAGAAGAGAAATTCATAAAACAACTGTGACAGATTATGAGAAACCAGGTCGAAATAATTTCCTAATTGTTAATGAACATCAATAAGCAGAAGCTATATGGTAGAGATCCACCTTCATGGGATCAGCCATGTTAACTACCACACCAGTCAAACTCATCCCAAGAAAGTACCTGCTTTGAGAGTAAAAGACTTTGATGTTGAATTTACAATCACATCTGCTGCTTCTTTGGTGATATCTCCAGAGGCCACCTGGAAGGTGATGGGACCAATCTTCATTTCATGCACTCCCAAATTAGGGCTAGAAACAGCCCCATAAAAATCTGGAAATAGAAAAGGTGGAGTCAAGAACCAAGCCAGCAATGGTGAGACTCACGCAGGTCTCATGCCCTCCACGCGTGCCCCCTCATGTAGGTCTTCCTTCCTCTCTCTCTCTTTCTCTCTCTCCTCTCTCACCTTTAACCTTTACTATGGCTCTGACTCTGAGCCCCAATAATGGAGCTTTCTGAAAAAAGACTAGGAAATATAAAATATAGCAAACACAGACTCTGATGCTGGCCAAGATGTCTTCCACTGAGTATGACTAACCCCCAAAGCCACTACCTGGGAACTCCGAACAGTAAACAACAGCAGGAAGATTGGGAAAGGCAGTCAAAGCTTGAAGAAGTAACCTATATCAGGGACGTTTCTTATTTTGCTTTATTTTTATTTTTTTTTCTCTTTTTTTCTCCTAGTGTCACCCAAAGAGCTGCTTTGCTACAGAAGTGCATCATGGGCAAAGGCACAGCAGTCCGTGCTCGTGGCCAAAGGACCAGGAAAAGGGGTCCCTGGGAGCAGAAGAGTATGGCAGGGAATCCTTTTTTCCACACTTTTTCAATCAAGGCCTTTTCCCAGCGTGGCCCCAGTTGCAGAACTCTGCACTGGCACTACAGCGGGCTAACACTGAGGGACACTCTGCATTGGGGCCAGAAGACTAGAAGAAAGGGCCCCTGTGGCCTGAAAACTGTAGTTTCGTGGATGAGACATCCATGTGGTTTCTCACTTTCTTGTCTCTCTGCTTTGCCCCAGGGCAGCTCTCTCATGCAAAAGTGTGAGGCAACACACCAAGCAGCTTATACTCAGAGAGAACCCTTTCTTTCTGGCCCGAGGACCTGGAAAACAGGTTCCTGCAGAGTGGGAGGGGAATCCTAGAAGTGAAAACTGGAGGAGAGCATCAGGTGTGCAGGGCAGAGCCACGGCAGTAAAGCAAGGCCTTGAGAACTGCACTGAAGTTGGAACCCCCAGGCGAGCCAGACCTGCAGGTGCGCTTGCTGACTGCCTGCCGGCTAAGCGAGCAGACACTTGCATTCTCCAGAGGGTTTTAACAGGACCTGAGTCTCAACATAATACTCAAAATGTCTAGCCTGCATTACAAAACTCCATTAAAAAAAAAAAAAAACGAAAACAAAAACAGGAAAATGATGACCAACTGTCAAGTATAAAGACAATCAATAGATGCCAACCCCGAAGTGATCCAGATTTTGGAATTATCGAAGACTTTCAATTATTTGCTGTAACTAGGATTGATTCAGTCAAAGTAAACACATTTGAATGAATGGAGATGATTTGAAATGAGTGGAAAAATAGGAGCTTTCTGAAGAGAAACTATTAAATACACACACACACCCGAATGGACATTTTGTTAGTGTAAAATGCAATATCTGACGTTTAAAATTCACTGGAGGGCCAGCTCATGGTATAGTGGTTAAAGCAGCTGGATCCCACATGGCTAAATATGTGGATGGAGTCCCTGATACAGCGGCTTGAAAAACACGCTGGATGCGTATACACGTGTGCCCAAAATCCCAACAGGAGATTGGACAAGAAGGGCTTGTGGTGTGGCTATCCCCCCTAGGGGGTGCTTTCTCATTTTTCTTCTTCTCTCTCTCTCTCTCTCTCTCTCTCTCCAGCAAACCCATGCACCTTACAGCAAATTTAAAAAAGGAAAAAAAATAATAATTGGGTTAGTTCAGTAGCATAGTGGACAGAGAAAAGAGTCGGTGAACTTAAAGGTAGAGCAGTGTCAACTCATCAGAAGGACAGAGAGAAACATCACTGGCGAGTGTGGAGGGTGGAGGAGAACTTCTCGGAGCCCTCCGGGACATTTCCGGACAGCTCAGCACCCACATAATTGTAGTATCTGAGGACAAAAGGCAACCTGTGCAGAAGGTATCTGAAGAAATCATCATTTTTAAATTCCCGAATTTAATGAAGGACATACATTTTTAGATTTAAGAAGCCTAAGTGATCCTCAAACAGAGAAACTCAAATGCATCAACAGCAAATTTGACAGAGGAGAATTGGTTGGTATTATCTCTCTAAAAGTGTCTATTCTGGAAAGCACATATCACATTATCCTTAGAAAACAGTAAACTCACCACTACTTAAAAACACATTATATGGATGATATAACTCAGCCTGCCTTCTCTTTTGCTACAGATACATAAGCATGGCCAAGGTGTTGCATGCTCGGGAGCATGCAACACAATTTAGTATCTTATTTGTAATTCATTGATTTTTTTTTTTAAATAAAAGTCATCACTACCATTTTTCACCTGTCACTGAATAGTTACTTAGCAATGAGAAAAAATAAATACAAAGCTTTACCAAACCTTGTGTACCTTCAGCCTTGGGAGTTTTGTCATTAACGACCTTGTTATTAGCCCTTCTGGCAAATTCATCCGAAAATGCCTGGAAATAAAAACACAGTTTTGACCATTACCCGCCTCAGTAGATGAATAAACTTGATTCATCAGGGCTTGTGGCCGCACATGCATACTTACATATGTAAGAGAAAATAATTCTCAACTAGTATTATACTTAATTTCATTGTAGATTTTTACAGTTATAAAAACAGGACATTGTTTGTACAAATGTGTCCTACGTGGAGTCAGCAGGTGGTGTGGAGGTTAAAATGGCTGGATCCCACATAGCAGGCTACGTGGTTTGAGTCCAGACCTGGCTGCCTGAAAACACGCTGGGCACATGTGTGTGCATGCCCAAAATCCCAAGAGGAGAATGGAGGAAAAAGGATTGTGGCATGGCCATCTCCCCTGGGAGGGGGGGTTGATTTTTTACTTTCCCTCTCTGTGTCTCTCTTTGGCAAGTGTATATGCCTATGGAAAAAAAAAAATTCAAACACACATGTGTCCTCTGAAAATTATCAAAGATGTGAACAAAGATATAAATACAGGATATTCATTAGAGTATTACTCATGGTAGAGAAAAAAATAAAACAACTCAAAAACCCATCAGAGAAACAAGTAAGTTTTCATATATTATGTACTAAAATATTTAGCAGTCATTAAAAAATCTATTTTGAAAGAATATTTAATGAAATTGAACAACCTTCATCTTATACTATTAATTTCAATAAGAATATTAAATTACATATCATGTAAAAACACACACGTAGTGGGCCAGCCCCACAGCCTAGGAGTTAAAGGAGCTGAATCCCACATGGCCAATTGTGGCTCATATCCTGGCCTTGGTGGCTTGAAAACTATGTTGGGTATGAGTGTGTGTGTGTTCCAAATCCTGACAGGATAAAGAAATGCAGGAGGGATTGTGGAAGACCACACCCCATTGGGGAGTACTTTTCCCCCCTACCTCCCTCTGTCTCTCTGGCAAGCTCTCTCTGGCAATTGAAAAGCCACAAATATAGAAGACTGGAATCATATATAACTAAAGAATTTATGCATTTTGTATTGTTCAAAATTTCCACAATGTACATGCATTACCTTCATAAATCACCTCCTTCTTCCTCCTTGTAAAGAAGCAACAGAGAATTTTGTTGGAAAGAAAAAAACAAATAACATGTTGGCCAACTACTGATGGGAGGAGGACCTGGAGAGACCAAGGGCAAGGGTCTCAGACTCACAGCCTGCAGCAGCCAGCCAGGGAAGGTACAGGTGTAAAGGTGCACTCCTTGGCTCAGAACTAGGGAGCACCTGCCACCCAGCCACAGCGAAGCGTTCTAGGCAGTAATCTATGTCCAGTACCTCGGAACTTTCCAGTGTTTCGGTCACAGTGAACATCAGTAGTTTTATGTGACATTTTAAGTTTTTAAATATGTTATTGACTAACATTTAAAATTAGCCCTTCTGGCAAATTCATCCGAAAATGCCTGGAAATAAAAACACAGTTTTGACCATTACCCGCCTCAGTAGATGAATAAACTTGATTCATCAGGGCTTGTGGCCGCACATGCATACTTACATATGTAAGAGAAAATAATTCTCAACTAGTATTATACTTAATTTCATTGTAGATTTTTACAGTTATAAAAACAGGACATTGTTTGTACAAATGTGTCCTACGTGGAGTCAGCAGGTGGTGTGGAGGTTAAAATGGCTGGATCCCACATAGCAGGCTACGTGGTTTGAGTCCAGACCTGGCTGCCTGAAAACACGCTGGGCACATGTGTGTGCATGCCCAAAATCCCAAGAGGAGAATGGAGGAGAAAGGATTGTGGCATGGCCATCTCCCCTGGGAGGGGGGGTTGATTTTTTACTTTCCCTCTCTGTGTCTCTCTTTGGCAAGTGTATATGCCTATGGAAAAAAAAAATTCAAACACACATGTGTCCTCTGAAAATTATCAAAGATGTGAACAAAGATATAAATACAGGATATTCATTAGAGTATTACTCATGGTAGAGAAAAAAATAAAACAACTCAAAAACCCATCAGAGAAATAAGTAAGTTTTCATATATTATGTACTAAAATATTTAGCAGTCATTAAAAAATCTATTTTGAAAGAATATTTAATGAAATAGAACAACCTTCATCTTATACTATTAATTTCAATAAGAATATTAAATTACATATCATGTAAAAACACACACGTAGTGGGCCAGCCCCACAGCCTAGGAGTTAAAGGAGCTGAATCCCACATGGCCAATTGTGGCTCATATCCTGGCCTTGGTGGCTTGAAAACTATGTTGGGTATGAGTGTGTGTGTGTTCCAAATCCTGACAGGATAAAGAAATGCAGGAGGGATTGTGGAAGACCACACCCCATTGGGGAGTACTTTTCCCCCCTACCTCCCTCTGTCTCTCTGGCAAGCTCTCTCTGGCAATTGAAAAGCCACAAATATAGAAGACTGGAATCATATATAACTAAAGAATTTATAAAAAAAAAAAAAAAAAAAAAAAACTTGCCAATTGTAAAAAATACAGTGTTAAGAGAAAATTGATCACAAGATCCCAATACTTCACTTTTTAACTTCTAATTTGTTAATGGCTGGAATGGCTAAGAAGGCAGTGATTACTGAAGAAAGAGGCTGGGGTAGGTATTCGAGTGTTAATGAACCTGTGAATTTAACTTCCAAAATCATCACCTTCTTCCTCCTTGTAAAGAAGCAACAGAGAATTTTGTTGGAAAGAAAAAAACAAATAACATGTTGGCCAACTACTGATGGGAGGAGGACCTGGAGAGACCAAGGGCAAGGGTCTCAGACTCACAGCCTGCAGCAGCCAGCCAGGGAAGGTACAGGTGTAAAGGTGCACTCCTTGGCTCAGAACTAGGGAGCACCTGCCACCCAGCCACAGCGAAGCGTTCTAGGCAGTAATCTATGTCCAGTACCTCGGAACTTTCCAGTGTTTCGGTCACAGTGAACATCAGTAGTTTTATGTGACATTTTAAGTTTTTAAATATGTTATTGACTAACATTTAAAAAATAGCCCAGGGCTCCAGCAGATGGCGTACTGGTTACACCACTGGACTCCCACATGGTTGGCTTGTTTTGAGTCCTGGAATAAGTGGCTTGAAACTCATGCCAGGTGTGTATGTGTGTGTGCCCAAGATCCCTGGAAGAGAATGGAGAAGGGATTGCAGCATGGCCATCCCCCCTGGGGGGGGGGTGATTTCTCACTTTTCCTCTCACTGTTTTTGTCTCTTCTCTCTCTTTCTTTCTCTGGCAAGCATATGTACCCTAAGGCAAAAAAAATCTTTAAAAAAAAAAAGCCCAAATAAAGTACTTGCAGAGCCACATTCAGACCACAGGCTGACATTTTGCAGCCTTTGTAATAATCGACTATAAACATTTCAATTAATTGTGCTGATTTTTAGAAAAATTTAGACCAAAGTCTGTCTTTAAAGTTTTAAGAGGACAAAGTATAACAGCCACCTGCAAAGGACCAATATTATTTCAAATAGCAGTAAAGATAACTGTACAAACTAATCCTTTTTATAAAACAGTTGCAGACTGGAGGGCTGCCAGTGGCATGGTGGCTAATGCACTGGACTCCGACAAGGCTGGCCACGGTTCAAGTCCTGGACCTGGTGACTTGCCTTCCCACTTCTCTCTCTCTCTCTCTCCTGCTCTGGTCAAATTAAAAACAAATAAATAAAGTTAAATAAAAATAATTCTTAAAAAAAATAGTTGCAGAGCACTCTGAGTCTTTGGGGGGATAAAAGCAATGAAGACGGGTTGCACAATGTTGCAGAGCACTCTGAGTCTTTGGGGGGATAATTGCAATGAAGACGGTTGCACAATAATAGCAAGATGTGAAGGTTCCGGTCTGCGCCACAGGACTCAGCCATTCATTCACTCGAAACCGCTCAGCATGTCATGCCTCTAATTTAGTTCCCTTTGTGTTTTTAAAACTTAGCTCTCAAAGTAATTATGATTTATAGGAGAAAACGCATGTGCTACATACCCTGTCCCATGATCCACATCAGCTCCCACAGTGCAAGTCTAGAGAGCTTATTCAAGGGCTTTTAGTGAGCAGAAATAACTATCGTTAGACTTGACAAGTAAATGGGCCACGAATTTTACTTGCAAGGTTTTGCTGACTAATTAGCATTTACATTAGAAGTGCTTGCTTCCGAAGAACTTATAGGTACTGTCTAGATTTAGGGAAAATAAAAAGTATGACCTAAACATTCAGATGGTCCAATGATCCATGGACATCCCTTGGGTTGCTGGCTTCAATCTATTTGTTAAATTCTTGTAATATCATGGAACATTTCAAACATGTAATACCATCTACTCTGCTGGACCATAAAGACCTGAAGGGCAGAGATAATGGCCTAAGTGCCTCTCATTCTCACATAAGGCTGAGAGTCCAGTGGCTCACCTACAGATGACGGCCAGTGAATGTGACCTGACTGACGGACCCTCTAGAACTGAAAATGGTCCCAACTCTCCTCCTCGCTTGGAGATGTGTGATGCATTGCTCCTACACCCTTCGCTTGCATATCATCCTGACATTTTCCAATTCATAGTGCCACAAATGTGTTTTTATATTATGTATTAGAAATTCTATGTCCCTATGGGGGAAAAAATCCCATAGATTGAAAGAATCTTAAGGGATATGTCAACTCCACTGAAAATTGTGACTTTTTTGCATTCAGACACAAAGCTGTAAAAACAAAATAAAATATTTATGGGATACTTGGATATTTGAACATTGACTTGACAATTGATAAAGGAATTATTGTCGATTTCTTTTAGGTGTGATGTAGTATTGTAGTTGTGTTACTTTTTAAAAAAGAGTCCTTACTATTTACAATAAATACTAAATTGTGAATAAAACTGTATGTCTGGAATGTGCTTCAAAATAATGAGGGAGGAAGGGAAATAAATAGAGATAGATCTGAAACATCTGAGCCAAAATTTGACCATCGTTGAAGCTGAGCGATGAGTACAAAGAAGTTCACTGTACAATCATGTCTACTTTTGTACACGTTTGAAATTTTCCTGTATAAGAAGTTAAATTTGGGGAGGAGCCAGCAGATGGCATAATGGTTATGTCACTGGACTCTCACACAGTAGACAGCAGCTCCAGTCTTGGACCCGGAAGCTTAAAACTCAAGCTGGGCATATGTGCATGCATGCCCAAAGTCCTGAGAGAAAATAGAGGAGAAGGGATTGCAGTGTGCCCATCGTCCCTTGAGGGTGATTTCTCGCTTTCTGTCTTTGTCTCTCTCTGGTGAGTGCATGCGCCCTATAGCAAAAACAAAAACAAAAACAAAACAAAAAAAACCCACAAAAACAAAAACAAAAACCACTTTAAAAAAGAAGAAATTAAATTTTTACTATGTCTATTGCTTTTCTTGACATTTGTCATGTTATAGTCGATCTGTGCTTTCCTCTTACTTTCCTGCATGGGAAATACATGAGAGAAACATTCTATGAGACTAAGAAGACATTTGGGGACTTTAGGTCTCAGTTGCCCAAATTATCAGAAATGAGTGAAACCAGACCTGAATATTTTCATAATCACTCGGGTGCAGCATAAAGAAAACCTCTTGCAAAGCTGTCAGTTGATTCTTGCTACTAAACTTGAACACTTCTGAAATGATCAATTCAGCAAATACGGTTTTAGGAAATCTCAAATTTCCTGTTCCTATTGCCGGAAATGCAATTGATTTGAAGGACAAGCTCTCGGTGATCTCCAAACATTGGCTGATTATGTCTTCCATGACCTGAAAAGCAGAAAACACACCCTTATACATCCTAGCAATGGGAGGTGTGGCAAAAGAACAAGAACGTAGCAAGTCTGTGGTCTCAGTGTACTCCTTTTTACTCTCAACACCAAGTTCTGAAAAGGAAAGAAAATGACAGGAGAAGACAAAAGGAAAAGAGAACATGAGAGGCCCTCCAAAACGATTCCAACTTACTCAGCAAGGAAGGAAAGAGGCAAAAGTGACTGATCTTAGTCTTCATTCTCTTCCAGTCTCCAGGCCCTCCTCTCACTTTCTTCACTAAGGAACTAGTATCTTCCATAACCTGAGCCCAGTAATTACTGAGCGTGATCATGAATCTATATTATTAACCGGGACTAGGGGAAGTTAGCTAGAGCTGAGAGAAATGGCCATAATGATGGAACCTGCCCAAACTGTGTCAGTACTGGGCTGGCACTGTACACAGCAGTAAATACTGTGCCCTGGGAGCTGGATCTCACATGGCCAACCGCGATTCGAGTCCTGGCACTGGCATCTTGAAAAACATTCTGGGTGCACGTGTGTGGGTATCCAGATCCTAAGAGTGTGAAGAAATGGAGGAAAAAAGGATTATGGTGTGACCACATCCCACTGGTGAATGGTTTCTCTCTCTCATGAACATATGCACCCTCTGGCAATTAAAAATTATTACAGAAGAGAAACAGACAATGTCCAATGTACACTTGTATTACACTGAAAGGAGAGTCCAAAGGGTTACCCAGTTTCCTGGGGAATCTAAAACCAGGCCTTACCTTTTGCGAAGATGTGCTGCCATTTTTCCACTCTGGAGCCACCACATGAAGCACACGTTGGCAGGCCAGATTGCACCCACTAGTTTGGAGAATTGTGCCCACACTGGCAGCTACCCCTTGTCCAACTGTGTTCAATTCCTCCTGGAGCTTTGGCCCAGCTTTTTCCAAAATGGCCCGAGAAAGGGGCCCATTATTAAGCACAAGATCCGAAGGAATGGAGTTGACGACAACATCAGCCTTAAAGATAAAACCAAAAGTGTATTTCAAATTCAAACCAAAAGCAGTCATCAAAGATTAGTATATTTGAACCACTGGGCTTGACACAATGGGGACACCTAAGGTGATTCACGCTTCAGAGACTGAAATATCATCCCAAGATGGTATTACTAAATACAGGGCAAAAGAGAGCTCGCGGAATGCAACCTGTGAATGGTCTGGGTCACTGAAGGAGTCTGGAGGAGTCTCCTCAGTGCCTGGTGAAGACAGCATGGGCTCTGAGACGTGAGGAGAGCTGCAGCAGGCACAGGGAGACAGGGCACAGCAGGAACAGAAGCGTGCTGGGTTGTGAGCTCTGAGCAGGTCCGTTTGCTCTGACAGCTTCTGCACAAAAAGTGCAGGGCAGGCTAGGAAGGCTCCTTTGGGGGGTAGGCTGCAGAAGGTCCACCTCGAGTGTCACCTGAGCTTCACAACAGACAGTGGGCAGCCATGGAGCATTTTCACCAGACAGTGAATGTGAGCAGATAGATCAGGCGAGATGAGAGAAGCCAAAGGAGAGGAAAGGAGTCTGAGTGGTTCTCACTGAGGAGCTCTGCACAGCAACCCCTGTGGCAGTAGGAGCCACATACCTACGGGAGTTAAAGGACTGGAAGGGGCGTCTCAACATGCAGCGTCAAGGGAGATGAGGAATGGAACTCATTCTCATTACGAACTCTTGGTCAAAAGAGTGTCTGGTTTGTTTGGTGTTTTTCAAAATGTGAAACAAAATTATTTTTAACATTTTGAAATAATTAGCAATGGTTAAAAGCCCAAACAAAGTCCAATTCTGGCTCTGCTATTTGCTAACTGTGGAACTTGGGTTAAGTTATTTAGCCCCTCTAAATCTCTTTTCCTCATCTGCAAAGTGAGAAAAATAGTGATCGCAGAATCTACCTCATGGCACTCAACGGGAAAATGCCTGTCAAGCACTTAGAGTTCTAGCACATAGTAGCAATTAGCATTGGCTATAATCTTATAATTAGACCTAAGTTTACTGTGAATAGAAATCTATTTTTTTAATCTCCTATTTCAGCATTTTTAACTGAAATTAAAAATACTTTAAACAAAATAAAAAAGTGGTCCTCAAAATAGGAGAAAATATTTATAAATCATACCTGATAAGGAACCTGTATTCAAAGCATATAAAGAACACTTAAAACTCCTTAATAATGGAGGCCGCAAGTAGTTTGCTGGTTATGGAGTTGAATCCCATATGGCCAACTCTGTGGTTTGAGTCCCAGACAGGGCGGCTTGAAAAATACACCAGACACATATGCCTATATGCCCCAAAATCCCAAGGTATGAATGGAGAAGGGATTGCAGTGTGGTTATCCCTCCTAGTGGGGTCATTTCTCACTTTCTCTCTCTCTCTGGTTCTCTCCAGTGAGTGCATGTGCCCTATGGCCAAAATCTAAAAAACAAAAACTCCATAATAAAAAGAAAATTCAATTGACAAGTGGGCAAAGGACCAAAAAAGACAATTATTTAAAGAAGGTACACAAATGGCCAAAAAGAAATATGAAAAGATGTTTAATATCGTTAATCATTGGAGAAATACACTCACTAGGATGGCTACCATAAAAAAGATAATAACAAGTGTTGGTAAGGATGTGGAGAAATTAAAGCTCTCAACATTGGTGATGGGAATGTAAAATGATGCAACTGCTTTGGAGAACACACCAACAGTTCCTCAAATAGTCAGAGAGTTACCACATAACCCAACATTCCACTCGTAGGCGTATACCCAAAAGAACTAAAATCATATGCTTGAACAAAAACGTGTATACGGATATTCATAGTAGCATTATTCAAAAGAGTCAAAGACTGGAAACAATCCAAATATTCACTGACCAAAGGATAAACAGAATGTTTTCCACACAATGGATTATTATTCACCCATTAAAAAGGAATGAAGTTCTGGGACCAGCAGTTAGCGTAATGGCTATGTCGCTGGATTCCCATGTGGTCGACCGTGGTTCACGTCCCGGACCTGGTGGCTTAAAACTCACGCCGGGCGCGTGTGCGTGCATGCCCAAGATCCCAAGAGGAGAATGGAGGAGAAGGGATTGCGGCGTGACCATCCTCCCTGGGGGGTGATTTCTCGCTTTCTGTCTCTCTGTCTCTCTCTGTCTGGCGAGCGCACGCGCCCTATAGCGAAAAACCTCTAAAAAAAAAAAGGAATGAAGTTCTGATACATGCTATGACATGGATGAACCTTGGAACCATCTTGCTAAATGAAAAAAGCCAGTCATAGAAGATCACAAACTATATGTTTCCATTATTTGAAATTCCCCAAGAGGTGAATCTATAGAAACAGAAAGTAGATGGTTGTTTCCCAGACTAGTGAGGATGGAATAGGGAATGGCGCTGGTGGGCACAGGGTTTCTTTAAAACCTTGCGTCACTTTAAAACATTTTTACAATAAAAACATTCTAAAGACCAGGAGTTGGCATAATGGCTATGTCACTGGACTCCCATGTAGTCGACTATGGTTCGCGTCCCGGACCCAGGGCCTTAACATGCCAGGCACGTGTGTGTGCATGCCCAAGATCCTGAGAGGAGAATGGAGGAGAAGGGACTGCAGTGTGGCCATCTCCCCTGGGGGGTGATTTCTCGCTTTCTATCTCTCTCTGTCTCTCTGGCAAGCACATGTGCCCTATAGTAAAAACCTCTCCCCCGCCAAAAAAAAAGACAATAAAAAAAATTCTAAAATTAGATCATGATGATCATTGCATACCTCTATACTAAAAACCATTGAATTATACTTTAAATGGATATGGTGGGACCAGCAGTTGGTGTAATGGCCACATCACTGGACATTCATGTATTTGACCACAGTTCAAGTCCTGGACCCGGCGACTTAAACTCATGCCAGGCGCGTGTGTATGCATGTCCAAGATTCTGAAAGGAGAATGGAGGAGAAGGGATCTCGGCATGGCCATCCCCCCCGGGGGGTAATTCCTCGCTTTCTGTCTCTCTGTCTTTTTGGCGAGCGCACGTGCCCTATAGCAAAATCTCTCCAAAAAGAAAATAGATATGGTATGTAAATTACATCTCAACAAAGCTATTGAAACAAAAAGGAGAATGACTGATAATGTCTGCTAAACATTTTTCAGCTTTTCTCAAGACTGCCAACACTGTAAGTATATTCGGGTTAGAACAGTTTCCGCCGTGTCATGTTTTACTGCATTACAGTCAATACTGGATGGATGCTTACAGATGCTTTTTCTTGTAAAACAATTCAAAGCCAAATATTTGGCAGCTTTATTAAATGTAGTTCATTTCATTTACTATCATGCAAAGCATCTCCAATTGTGTTTTGTTTAAAGATAATGAGGAAAAGTGACACCAGAGCTGATAATTTAGAACTCTGATCTCAGTCTTTGAATAAAACATTCAGGCGTAATTAAAATTGTCATTGCATTGTAATGTTTGTTTTCTTTTAGATGTGTTGTACTAATAAATCTTCCTTTTTTAAAAAAGAAGGGGCAGGGCCAGCAAGTGGCATAGTGGTTGAAGTACTGGACTCCCACATGACTGACTGCGGTTTAAGTCCCGGACCCAGAGGCTTAGAACTCATGCTGGGCTTGTGTGCCAAGAGGAGGATGGAGGGGAAGGGACTGCGGTGTGGCCACACCCCCTGAGGGGTGATTTCTTGCTTTCTGTCTCTCTGGTGAGTACTCACACCCTATAGCAAAAATCTCTCTCTCAAAAAAAAAGGGGATGGACTGGGGCTGAGAGGTGGCATGGTGGTTAAGGGCGCTGGACTCCTACATGGCCAACGGCAGTTCGAGTCCTAGACGTGGCAGCTTGCTTTCTCACTTTCTCTCTCTCTCAATCCCTCTCTGGTCAATTAAAATAAATAAGTAAATAAAGTTAAATAAAATAATTCTTTTTTTTTAAAGGGGGTGGGCAAAAATATACCAAAACAATTTTTTAAAAAAGGCAGGACCCTGAGGGGAGGGAGGAGCTCCCCTGGCTGTGCCCCAGGCTCCCTCAGCATGTCCTGTCCGCCCCCAAGTCCAGCAGAGGAAAGCTGAGACTAACATCCACTGGGAGAACGAGGGCCAGGCCAGGCAAAACAAACGAAACACGTTTCTTTTGATGAGTGAATAAGTGCGGCCCTCTCCTGCTCCCGAGGCTCCCCCCTAGCCCAAGTCTCTGCCAGGAACTCCTTCCATAGGACTCCCCAAACTGGGGCTGGGACTCAGCTGTGGGGGTCTATGCTGCTGAGGTACTACCCAGAGGCTGAGCCCACATGGGAGCCCCAGGTTCAGCCCTCAGTCCAACCTAAACAGGCTGAGTGCAGGTTCGCAGCCTACAGTCCCAGCTGGCTGGGAGGCTGGGATAGGAGGATTCCGAGCAGACAAGACTCTCAAAAAACGGTCTCTCTCCAATAAACAAATGAATAAATTTTAAATAGGAAAATCAAACAAGTAACGGCCTGGCACAGCTGCAAGTTCCCAGCTCCTGCCACAGATCGCTGCTGCTCCGAGGACCGTGTTGGAAATGTCGTTAAATGCGTTTTAAAACCACAGTAATTCCTCTGCCCCCCAACACCTCAGGCCCCCCACTCCACAAGCGTTGTCCCTTCCTAATGCCTGATGCCTGGACTTTCCCAGGCCCATCTCCCACTTGTCCTCACTGACGTGGGTGCTGATGGCTGCTCAGACTCTGGTCCGGAAGCTCACCCTCATCATGTCCCTCGACAAGATTCCCGCCCCTGCACACGCTGTGCCCTGACGGTTCGGTATCTGCTATCAGTAAATTTGACTAGAAGTTAGCCATGGATTACCAAAACGTGACAGGTGTAAAGGCACGGAAAGAGTAGAGAGGGCCACCTAGTACAGGTATTATGGATTTTCACATTTACCAGAAACCCAGGGATCTGATCTCAATACACTTTCACTTCTCACAACTAATCAGCCAGTCTCCATTAGCAAGCGATCTGGCAAATTTCCCAATTTCCTAATTTCAAGGCAGGGCTGGGGACATGGGATCCTCTCTTTTATCTCCTCCTTGCCCCTTCTCTTCCTTTGGCTTTTGAAGTGAGGGCCACAGGTTGCGTGGAGTCCCCGCACTGGGGTGGTGGCCTGGAAACAGGGACACTCACCTTGGTGTGCTGCACACCTGCTCTCACCAGCAGGAGCCGCAGGCCCCCCGGGGACACCAGGGTGGACTGCTCCTGGGAGATGGCCTCAGGTTGGACTGCTGCTGCTGCTGCTGCTGCTGCTGACAAGCTGGACAGGAAAGCTGGTTTAGGAAGTAAAGCTGGTTTAGGAAGTTTATCTGTAAACAGAGCTTTCACAGCTTCAGCAAAGGCCTCAGCAGACTTCTCGGATGCATCCACAAGGTAGATCTCCTTCAAGGTGCAGCCATCCTGGCTATACTGGAAGTTTTCCTTAATGGTCAAAACGATGGTCTTCGCACACTCCTGTAAGGGAAAGCCAAAGACTCCGGAGCTGATAGCTGGGATGGCTATGGACCGGACTTTGTGTTCTTTGGCTAACTGGAGAATCTGTTCCACAGCTTTCCTTAACAGGAACGCACACCGCTCAGCCTCCCCGGCCTTCCACTGGGGCCCGACTGCGTGGATCACGTGGAGGTATGGCAGCTTTCCAGCTTTGGAGATGGTGGCACTGCCAGGGAAGACCTTGCCCTTTTTCTTCACTATCTGGTCACAGTGTGCTTGCAGCTCAGGGCCAGCTGCTTTCGAGAGAGCAGCGGCAAGGCCACCACTGTGCTTGAGGTCCTCATTTGCTGTATTCACCACCACTTCGACGGGGAAGTGCGTCAAGTCACCCTGCTGCACCAGCAGCGTGACTCCAGGGGCCAAGTCTGCCCGAGACAAGCACCTCTGCCCACTGCTGCCGCCTTCCTTGTCTTCACTCTCCTGCAGTTCGATGAAACAACCAAACATCCGTCGGACCTCACCTTTGTAATAGCGCGCTTTGTCCTGGAAGAATTCCCTGGCTCCTGGCTTATCAACATGGACGCTTTTAACGTAGACCGACTCCCAGGCTTGCTTGACAATGTCCACTCCTTTCAACACTTCAATCTTTGGGCCAACTAGTAAAATGCCTTTGGGTTTGTTCTCAGTATTGAAAATGACCTGCACATTTGTGTTTTTTCCTTTGGGCCAGAACTTCTTTTCTGACTTTAAATAGTCAATAACTAAGGAGGGCTTTACTTCAACCAACCTCTCTATTTTCATGTGTTTTTCCATGAAGTCAAAAACCGAGGTATAGGTTTCATCCACTTCCTTCAGGAGGCCTGCAATGATGACCTCAGCTGCGGTTGCTGAAGTGAACTCACTGATCACGACAGTGTCTGAGGAGGAATTATATTTCTTATGCAAACTCTGAGCGAATCCTTTCCACTTCTTGCCATCAAGGACTTCCTTGTCCTCAAGTGCGAGGCGCTTATACTTTAAGGCATTAAGCATTTGCTTTTCAGCTTCTAACAGGACTTGGGGAGAACAGCTGGTTACAAGAGCAGTGGCACCCACTAGCTCGTAAATTGCAAGAATTTTCTGTGCCACAAAAAAAGACTTAGAGAATTCTTCACAGTCTACCTTTTGCAAAAACTGGAAAATCTCAGGAGAAACCTGAATGTTTTTCTGAACCATGGCATGCACCTTTTCCTGGATTTCACACTTAACTTTATACACATCTGCACGGAGTCCTTTAAAGCACATGCGTTGAGCGGCTTCATCATAACAAATCTCCATGTCTGGGCACTCGGAGCGTAGACGTCCCAGTACATCGCTGTGGCACAAAAGAAAATACCTTCCTGAAGAAACAGCCAAGGTTTCCCTCAGACTTTGCTCTTCTCTTCTAATTTTTTCAGTGGTAGTTACAATTAATTCCTTCATCTGTAGCTCAATGGTTTGGACGTCCTCTGATTTCCCTGCTAAGGTTATAACCTCCTTAAGTTTATCAAACTCAATCAAAATCCTATCCTCTGTGAAGTCATTTTTAATAGTGTCCCATATTATTGAATTTATGTTAAATGAGGTAACTTTATATTTAGACTTGATGCCAGAGAGTACATTGGAAGCGTCTTCCTGCCAGGTCCTGATTCTTTGTCTTCCTTGATTGACTAAGGTAGCCGCAGGCCTGATGGTAACTTTACCATTGACTTGGGACCATGTGAGCTCACAGTGACAACGGCTCATTTCCTCATCTATTTCCTCAATCAGGTGAGTCTTTTTCTGAAAAAACTGCCATAGTGGAGGATCCAGTGATTCTCCAAATGGTGCTGGAAGCTTGACCAGAGGCTTCTCCTCTCCGTACAAAGCTGTGCCCAAGGAGGCATAGTATGGGAACACGGACAGTGGCATTTTATTGAAGTGAAGTTTCTTGGTCACGATCGTATCTAACACTTAAAAGGAAAGAAATCAAAGTCAAATAATCCCAGTATGATACATTTCAAATAAAAACAAAACAAAATTTTCCTGTGCTCATGAAAAAAAAACTCTCTTATATTTTAGAACTTTGATATTACAACATATTATTAAAAAGCACTGGGCCAGCAAGTGCTATGGAGGTTAAGGGAGCTGAATCCCACATGGCTGACAGAGCAGTTCGAGTCCTGGACCCAGTTGCTTGAAAATCACTCTGGGCGCATGTGCATGCATGCCTAAACCCCCAAGAAGATAATGGAGCAGGAATTATGGCATGGCCATCCCTCTGGGGAATGATTTCTCACTTTCCCTGTCTCTCTGTCACTCTCTGTCAAGAGAGAGACATGTGCCCTATAGCAAAACTGAAAAAAAAGACATCCCTACTCTCTCAGTGCTCAAATATAAATTGGCATGTGTTAATGGTGCACAGGTATCCCTCCCTCACTGAATGGAATAATGACTTTATAGTCACGATCACTCCGGTTGAAATCTGGTTAACTGAACTCCATGTTCTCCTTTTCTGATATTTCTGATATGTCACTACCATGTGAAGAAACAGATGTGAGTTTGTTCACAAATGTGGGGGTGTTTGCACCAGTGCAAAGAATGTTTTGGTGCTTGGTCGGTCCCTTTTCCTAGCAGTTAAAAAGATCTGGATCCCGTATGGCTGACCACAGTTCAGATCCCTGCCCTGGAGGCTTAAAGCACAGGCTGGGCATGTGTGTGTGCATGCCCCAAACCTGACAGGTGGAGAGGCAGAAGTGGAGGGACTGTGGCATGACCAGAGCCCACGGAGGGGTGCTTTCTCCATCTCCCTGTCTCTGTGTCAGGTGAGTACAAACACCTTTGACTAAAAAATATATATATTTTGGTACTCAAAGTCAAGTTCATCTTAATATCATGTTATTTGCTCCATCTTGGACGGTCCCTCAATTTTTGGCTTCATAGCTGACTTTGATCCCACCAGCATATCTAGAGAGGAGCGTGATGCTTACTGGTGCTTAGCATGCACCAGACGCCATTCTAAGTGTGGTCCACATGTCTAATTCATTGAATCCTAAAACACCTGTTTTATCCAAAAACCTACACGCAAATGATAAGACTGCGGCTAGGAAAGGCGAGGTAACTTGACTAAGGTGATACACACCACAACCATCTGAACTAAGATTCAGTATCTGCCTCACCCTGAAGCCTTTGCTCTTCCTCTTCTCCCAAACCAAAATTGTCCTCGAGTCATCTGAGCGCCCAGCCCAAGTCTATGGTTCAGTAAGATCTGTTTCCTCCTGCCCCTACGATAATCTTCCTCCTGTCGCCTTGATGGGACAGTCCCTCAGAGTGTGTGGACACACACGTGTACTCCTCTCCTCCTCCAAGCCTCTTCATTTTGTGTCAGTCGTTAGGTAAAAGGGTATCA